ACCTTTCCTGATTCATTTTTATACCTAGATTTAAAAGTTAAATATCTCCCTCTAGGCAAGTCATTAGCAGCTAATATTTTAACCCTGTTAGTTTCTCGGTGAGAGCTTTCATTTGACACCAAAATAGTTAAGGAAATCGTCTGACATGATAAACGGTTCCATTGTTAGTTAAAATTGATATAGATCTATTTCATGTTTGTTGAAATAATTATAGTTATTTTTGATTTCTAATATAAATAAATTCTATTTAGCATCAAGCTGAAGGTGAACTTTATATGGATGATGGTCAATCATATGATTATCGACAAAAGCATCAGTTTATTCATCGTCGTTTTACATTCAAAAATAATGAACTTCAATCAATGTATGTTTATTATTTATTTGAAATTATATTTGTATTTGTTTTTTTATTTTGTTTTGAAGATCTCTTGATTCTACAGCTAAATTTGAAACAGATGCTTGGATTGAACGAATTGTTATTCTTGGTTATCCAAAAAATCCAAGTCGTATAACAATTAATTCAGGCGATAAACAAGCTATTCCACTTCATAGTTATCAAGATGCATCACAAACTCTTATTATTCGACGACCAGGTCCATCTGTAACAGCTGATTGGACACTTACACTTTCATAAAATAATAGATATTCTTAGTTGTATGCTTGTTATCTCTTTGTCTATCTTTTTTTTTCATTTTGTTATCTGGTGATTAATAAAGATGCTTATGTGTGCTGCTTTTTATTTTCTTTTTGTCATCAAACAAAACGGTAAACTAGAAATCTTATCAGTTACTAGCACAATTTTTGTTTTATTTTGAATATACAAAAAAAAAGAGTCATGATGAAAATAAGGTTGATATGTTTTGGATTAATTTTAAATTGTTTTATTTATCCTACTTATGCACAACATTTTTTATGTAATTCAATTGATGGATATAATATCAAAGATTTAACAAAGTAAGAAAATGAAGAAAAGAATTAATAATTTCTATTAAATAAAAAAACAAAAACTCTAGTGCTATTCAATGGCAAGTTACAACAGAGCAACAATGTCTCACTAATCTTGGTAATGAGTGTAGTTTTTATATAAGTTTTTGTCAACGAGGTAAGAGTTTTAATTATCATAATAAAAATTGATTATCATTATTAAATTTTCTTAGCACCTGCGTGCCTTAATGAATATTCGGCATGTCAAAATGCAACAGGAACAACAAATGTAACTATTATTGGTGGTTATACTAGTACACTTTTTTATCCATATGGTAAATTTATTGTAGGAATAGTTTTCGTAAATTATCGATTTTTCAATCGATATAGATTGTTTTCTTCATTTACTTGAGATAACAAGTTTTATTTCAAATTTCAATGAATAGTTAAAGATTCGAGAAAATAAATTTTCTTGATATTATTAATAAAAATCTCAATAATTTTGATACTCAATTGAATATTTTCCTATTTGAATTAAAATTTTAAATTGAAATCTTTTTCTTTTACTCATAATTATTATTATTTAGAATCCGGAAAAACTGGTTTTTATGCTAAATTTCCTGCTGGTCCAATGCAAAATATATCAAATACAACACGTTGTGAACCATCATTAAAAATAAAATTTAATTGTAATAAAAATGTACAATGGCTTGTTCCAATGACTAATACAACAGCAGCTGCACCACAACCAACTGATATTGAGATTGATGAATGTTTGGTAATTACATTTCAATTTAATATTTTATATGAGATTTTTTGTTTTGTTTTGTAATAATATTTTGTTTTTAGACCACTATGACTTTTGATTATCCAGGAGCGTGTTTTAAAGGAAATGAACCCAAAGGCGGAATAAGTGGTGGAGGTGTTTTTCTCATAATGTATGTTGAGAAAGAGAAAAAAAAAAAAACAACTTTCTCATTTTGAAAATAAAATACAATAATTAATTGGTGTTTTGTTTTAGCTTATTTTCTGTTGCTTTAGTTTATCTGATTGTTGGTATGATCTATAATGGATTGATTCAAAATCGAACAGGTCTTAATTTACTTCCGAATGCACAATTTTGGATTGGTTTACCATTGTATACTATTGTAAGTTGATAATCATTTTCTCTATGAAATAGTTTTAATTCAAATAAATTATATCATTATAGGAAGGTTGTCGAACTTCAATTAGTTTTTGTACTTGTTCATCAACACCAAGTCAAGCAACATATCAATCTGTTTAGACTAGACAAGTTTTTCTTTTCTTTGACGCTCTATTTTGTGTGTTCATTGATCGATTATTTTCTTTTTATCTTTCTAAATAATTACAAACTTAATAAAATAATAGAAAATCAAACATATACAATTGATTTATTCGTTTTTTTCCAAATTATTATTCAAATAAAATGTGCGGTTTTTTTTCATACATTCAAGTAACGAAAAAAAAGTGCTATGAACTATCGAGGGGCGTGTACCTTGGATAAGAGAGAATTTAGAGAAACTGATCTATTATCAAACAGTACAGGCTAAGTAAGAAAAATGAATCGTACGAACATTATTTCTTTAGTATTGTAGAATTCATCTACTTTAATTTATCAATATTAAGGATTGTGAATAAAATTTTTATAGTTAAAAAAAACAATCATTTATGTTTCTCATAGAATTACTCTAAAATATAATCAATGCATTTTAATGATCTATTCTTCATACCTTATGTGTATTCTTATGAGCCTACAGATCGGATATATTTTCTGTCCGAGACATCAAGTACTCTTCATCAGGGATCTATAAAATCTGCCGCTTTTTTTTCTGAAGTTAATCATAAATAATCTCAAGATTGTTTATATTATTGCTGAGTAATGTTTAATACATTAGTTCATGATTCAATCTTTCAGCTTTTCTTTGAAATGTATTATTTATATATATATATACATATTCTTTCAGACACTTAACTCAATTGATCCTCGAAGAATTTATAACATTACTAAACATAAGGATTATTAATCGTTTCGAAATGATGTTGTCTATGCTCTTCTTCGTTATCTCTCGCGTTTTATTTACTTTTCTCTTCACTTCTTATGTTCTTCTTTTTTTTATATTTGCTTTTCGTTGAGATTTCATAAAAGACAGAGAGTCGTATGAGTCGTTTCTATTTGCTTTTACTGATAACTGCAAAAGGCAGGTTTTTCTCTTTGTATTTTTTTTCTTATATACATAGTTTCTTCTTATTTTTTTCTAAATGATGAAAGTTATTGATCGTTTTTTTTTCTTCATACCAATCATTCGAATATATGTATTTATTGTACCTATAGATAACAGTTTGACCTGACTACTGTCTGTGTTGATTTCAAATTTTTAAAACGAAATTTTTTTCTAAATTGATTTGCACGTGCGCATATTTCACTTATATATAAATATGTTGGAAAGAAGCGCCCATATTCGTGAGTCAAAAAGAAAAGAAAAAGCAGAGAAGAATGAGAGAAAATAACTATACTTTGTCGTTTTATTTCGACTTTTTTTCTTTAATTTGAATACATACAACACTAACAGTTTAGTTTTTTTTTTTGCCTTGTCATATATATCAAGTATAAAAGAAAAAAGGAAGGTAATAAATCTAATTCTTACAAGCTTAAATTATTTTGTGAAACCCTGCTCTATCTTTTTTTTCTTTTTTACGCTATGACAACTGTCGTTTTATAACTATAATAACAAGTGATAATTTTTATCAAAATTTTCTTCTAGCCTCATTTGGAATAAGAACAATAGACATAGAAAGAGAAGAGTCTTATCACTAGACTCTCCATAAAAAACATTTGATATAGTACAGTCATACATTATATTGAATTACTATGGCATTAACCAGTAAGTTTGTTTAACCAATTAAAAACAAAAGAAAACTAAGCATCATTTAAGTCAATAAAATTTTAATATTAACAAAAGAAAACTAATACAGAAATTTATTATTATTTGTTTTTTTTTTATTGTTTTTAGTGGCATTATTTTATGATAAATATGTCATCAACTTGGACACAAAACAATGGAAAATCATTAGTTACAACAATGATTAAAAATGAAAATACTAATGATGATGAACATAGTAATCTTTCGAATAATAGTAATACATCATCATCATCAACAACAACAACAACGGCACAAATCAATCAATTATCAACAAATAATCAACAACAAATATCTATAAATGAACCAATGTATTCGGCACCAACAACATTAAAAAATTTAAATATTATTACTTCGAATAATTTACAACAAGAACAATATTCATCGACAAATGGTAAGATTTTATTTCATAATTTTGTTTTATATACTGTAATCAAAAGAATTCCCACTGCCGAATAACAAGTACAAAAACTTCTTTTCTTTTGTCTGATATTTTTATTAAAAATAGAGCTCGGTAACCTTAGATCGCAAGCACTAACCCAAGATTGATAGGTCTTAATGCAAAGGATTTACAATGAAAACATTGTTTTTTCCTCTTAAGACCTCAAAAAAAAAAGGCTTTTTTGACACTTTTCTCATTTTTCACTATTTAACCGCGTTAACTTCCCATTTTCTTATTAACAAATAAAGATTCGCATGTCTATATTGTATCATAGATAGAATACTTCAATCCACCATAGTCTAAAGGCGTGGAAAAGTCTCTATTTTCTGGAATGGTCTCAACATGAATCTCTTCTCTATAGATGACTGCAATTGTGAAAACCATAAACTCTGATGCGAAAATTACTTTATAAATTAGGCAAAATAAAGTCGTTTATATTATAGTGTGACTCAGTTATATATAGTACTTTCCTTTTTTCTTTCTTGTATTCTGCTATCATAAATAGATGACAAGGTACCATATACATATATGTCTTTTCTTCCGTTCTCTTAACATACTATAGACATATTTCATCTCATCATGTCTTCTTTTCAAGTTTCCCTAGGTTTTCTCCTAATTCATTCATCCGTATATATAGTTGTCGCTTGGAAAATAAAGATTTTTTTTTATTGATGATAAAGACACTGTTGAACTATTCAAATGACGAGTCTTACATTGCCATGAGATATGTTTTCTATATTGATCTTCTAGCTTTTCCATATGAAAGCCTATTAAATTTTTTTCGATCAGAATTTAACATGCTCTTACTTTTTACATAGTAATGAGATTTTTTTATGACTACTGTAAAATTCTTTATTATTATTATTATTTATATAAATTAGATTCATCTTCATTCGTTGGTCAATTCATCAGATCCGATCTTCAATCGTATACTGATCCATTAGTTTATTATGGTGATGGTATGATTGATCCACTTCAACAAAACTATTCGCATTTACAACATGGTAAAAAAATAAAATAATTTATTCGATTCGAATGAATTCGTTCTTCTCTTTTTTTTATAGTTTTTTATTCTCCATCAATATCAAGTATTCATCATCCACAGCAATTATCTTATGACGATGCAACTAGACCGAGAACAATCGTTTATGATAATGGTACAATTCAAACATGGCCATCGAATGAAACTCAACATTATTTAACTTATCCTTCAACAGGATTATCGAATATAAATGAATTAACACAATTACAACAACATCAAAATGATCAAGTACATCTCTGGACAGATACTACAACTGGTGGAACATATTTTCAATATCCCGGTAAGATTTTGTTTTTTCTTTAAATTAAAAATAATGAAATAAAAAAAACAATGTTTTTTTTTTTTTTTACTTTAGAGGGTCCTTGTTTTGAGACAACTGATGGACGTGAATGTGTTAATTGTGGAGCTGTATCAACACCATTATGGCGATATGATGCTACAGGTCATTATTTATGTAATAATTGTTATTTATGTCATAGAGTAGATAGTCCGAGTGGATCATTACAACGATCAACTCGACATATAGTAAGAAAATTTAGTTATAATGTCTTGTTATTATTATTATTTTTTGTTTTATTGTTTAATTTAGGAAGATGATGATCAACTTCGATCATCTGTTATTGATAATTCTTTTTCACTTTCTCTTCCACAATCATCAACAAAAGTTTTATCTTCATTAGCACTTGGAAATTCTGATAGATCTTGTGCAACAATTAAAACGAACGATTCAGTAAATTATAAATCGAAAATGAAATCATAATTTGTTATTATTTTTTGTATAATATTTAGAATAAGCCATCTTCTGCAACGAACAATAAACAAGTAAGTTCATTCTTATTTTTGTTTTTTTTTGTGTAATTTATAATAAATAAATATAAATTTCCTTTTTTTTTTAGAATGTATCAAATTCAAGACGATCAGGTCTTCAATGTGCTAATTGTCAAACACAAACTACAACTTTATGGAGACGAAATAATGAGGGTGATCCTGTTTGCAATGCATGTGGTTTATATTATAAACTTCATCATGTAAGAAAAAGTTATGATCAAAATCAAGGAATCAGAATTAAGATCGAAAATTTAATTAGAAAATCAAAAAAAAAAAAAAAAAATTTTTTTTCTTACCTTGTCATATTCTGAGTTAGAGGTGAATGTTGATCAAATCAAATGAGACTATGTGAAAATGCTAATGATATGGATTTCAGGTTGTTCACATCAATTTATTCAGACTAATTACATCTCGAATTCTACGAGAAAAGCAATCTGAACTGATGCCCATTGTTTAATCTCCTATTGGATCTACAAGAAAGTGTCAGAAATACTGAGAAAATTATGATAGGATTCGTCTCCCATGATCTTTTACAGTCCAATTAGGATTTTTGTATTGAATTTTCTATAGATCATTCGACCGATCTATGAGCAGCATTGTACGTTGACATTCTACTTTTTGATTAATGAATAAGAGACTATCGAGTTTATCTCAATTGTAAAAAGAAATCGAAATAAAACTTTGTCAATATACTACATCCGAAATAATTTACTTAAAAAAACTTTGAACTTCATACATTCTAATAAAATTCAATGAATGCTATTATTCGAAACAGGGAGTAATTTTCATATTTATATGATTATTTAGGTTGCTCGTCCAATGAATATGGTTAAAGAAGGTATACAAACACGTCGTCGTAAACCAAAAAATAATAATGGAAATATAACTTCAAAATCTAAGTCTAATAAACATACAATTTTAACTGCGCCAATTAAAGACGCTAAAGCATGTACATCTGAATTAAATCTTAATCATGGTTTAAAAACAACACAAGACGAATATATTACACGACAAGGAAATTATCAATATACTGA